GTTATGATGATGATGATGAAAAAGGGAACAAGAGGTGAAAGGGAGCAAAAGTTCAGAACTGATGAGGAAAGCAAAGTTGGGTTTTAGACATAATAATAAAGAACTTAGAGGAAGGAAGTGTTACAAGTAGTTGTAGAAAATAATGAAGACGTAAAGGGTTGGGCTACTATCTGTGCTAGGAAAGGAATGCCAATGTGAAGATGGGATTCACAAGTAGAGATGCTCAAGAAATTCAGTCTTTACAAATTCTTCTATAAAATGATACGACCCACATCTCACAGATTTGTGTGTGGATTAGGTGCACGTTGTGCATAGTTAAAATATGGAATTCGCTCACACAAAATACAGTGATGGCCACAAACTTGGACGGCATCAAAAGTGGATTAGACAAATTCTAACAGCAACAGAACCCTCAACAAAAACCCCTCAACTATAACCCAAATGCAAGAAGCTGTGCTGTGCTCCAAGCTCATGCAGTTTCCCCCCATGCATAATGACCCTGTATTAGATGAGGTTATGGACATATGCAGGTTAAAAGACAAGGATGTAGTCAAGCCCAGTCATCTACATGCCTGGACTGCCGTCCTACAGAAGCAGGGGATGGGGAGCCAAGCAACTTTGGAGGCAGGGCCAGAATGAAAGAGGCTATAGTCAGATCCATTTTCAGGCTTTGATGAAGTAAGTGAAAACAGCTAATCTGTTGTGGTTTGGAAATAAGCTTGCAGTTGACAGAGCTATTCATTTCTGGAATGTCAAAGCAAAGATTTGTAGATATTGCCTTCCTGAGCAGCATTCTTATAATCACCTTGAGTTTTCCCATTACTCGGCTATTGTCTGCTTGCTAAAGTGGTGGGAAAGTTGAACTCCACTGCTCTTTCCAAACAAACAGCTTCTTTTCTTTAGGTGAAAGGATAACAGGTGCTCTACTCGAGGATTATAACACCTTCATTAGTGCCTTGCTCAGAAAAGCCTTGGGGACAGCAATGACCCCTTTTCACTGCACAGTTTAAGTACCACATTCCTCTGAACCATTTACTAAGGTAATGAGATGCTAGAGGATATGGCTTCAAAATACTTAAGAAACACAGGTCCATTCTGCTGGCAGTTATTTACACACTTAATACATTATTGAAGAGAAGAAACTAATAGGATAACCACATGAGCACTGCTGAAAAATTGCCTTTGCTGGGAGCATTGTTTCACAAGGATGGGGTTTTTCCCTTCCAGACGAATAATCTTCTGCAATCTTCAATTTACCGGCAAAGCCAGAGCAACATAAAGTTATTATAACTTCTCAATGTCATATTCACTTTGATAGGTTAGAAAAAAAATTAAGGGAATGAAGTAGGAATGAGATATCTAGATCTCAGGTCTTTGTTTTATAAATATCTACCCAGATCCCCCCCCCACCGTCTACTCTTTCATAATGCAATAGTAGCATTTGACATCTGGCTCTTAATTCAACAGCCAGAACCTTCATGCTTTCATTTTGTATTTAAAAAAACCTGTTTCTGTCTTGAGAAAAGCTTGAGCTCTTCCCATTAGTTGGTAAAGTTTCTAAAGGAAAGGATAGGGAAAAGTTACTTTTTACCAGCTATTCTTCCCTATGGATACTACGCTTTGCCACAAAGTCATTGCCAATCGTATGAGAGCCTCCAGTTTCAATGGATTGAATTGGTCTGTATAGTCATCACTGTGGTCTCAAACTGCAACTATTTGCTTCATCGTTGCTAACTTTTAATGAGGGGGGAAATGAACATTTTAGTAGTGAGAACTAAGTGAAAGTCCTCAGTTCAAAGTCCCTGTGGGTGGCTTGCTTCTACCTTTGAAGATCTCTAAAGAGAGCATGAATTGCTGTTCATGTTTTGAATCTTTATTCTCTTTCATGCAAAGGAAATTTTCACAGTGAAACTCACTGAACGGCAATAAATAAAAGGCTATTGATCACATCTAACTAATTACAACAGGGCAAACTAATCAAATTCATGGCAGGGATGAAAGGGTAATCTTGCTCCTTATGATGGTAATTCTTTAGACATCCCCAATCCCTGTGCATTACTTCTCTGGTTTCTCGTTTCTGAATGAGGTCACACATGTGTATGCAGTATGTAAGCTTAACTGGAAAAGAGCATTCAGTCTGAAAAGAGGTAGCATTTTTTTCAAACCTTTAATTTTCATTCAAAGGACATGGGTGCATTATATCTGAAAACAATAGGAGGGAGATTTTAAGGAGCAAATAATATTCAGTGCATGACAGAGCAGAATGTGACAAACAAGAAGCCAAGACAAAATTCTAAGTCGCCACAGTGATAGAACACAAATAAATGGGCAACCCTAAGACTTGGAAACTGTTATTGTCTGAAAATGACACTGTTTCTTATTCTTTGTTTTCTGCACAGTGGGAAATTCTGTGCAGCCTTTACAGTGCTCATTTCTTTTAGAAAAGAGAGCACTGGATACTTGTGGAGTTTTTATAATAATCTTTTTATTTGTGCATGTACAATTGAGCAGGTATCGTGGGTGAGCAGATGCCAGCACACCACAGGGAAGACTAACCTCAAAGCAAACTCAACACCCAAAAACCCCCGAAGCAGCTTTTCTCTGGACATATATTAGTCAGTCTGCAAGCCAAAATCAAAAAGGAACTGCTTCCTGTGGATTTATTTATCTTGCACTCAAACTTGCTTTGGCCCCCAATTAGGAATATCCATGCAACTGGGATTGCATTGCATTGATTTAAGAAAGGGGCAATCTAAGGGTACTTTAAGGGACGCGGTTGGCGCTGTGGGTTAAACCACAGAGCCTAGGACTTGTTGATCAGAAGGTCGGCGGTTTGAATCCCCGCGACGGAGTGAGCTCCTGTTGCTCGGTCCCTGCTCCTGCCAACCTAGCAGTTCAAAAGCACGTCAAAGTGCAAGTAGATAAATAGGTACTGCTTTGGCAGGAAGGTAAATGGCATTTCCGTGCGCTGCTCTGGTTTGCCAGAAGTGGCTTAGACATGCTGGCCACATGACCCGGAAGTTGTACGCCGGCTCACTCGGCCAATAAAGTGAGATGAGTGCCTCAACCCCAGAGATGGCCATGACTGGACTTAATGGTCAGGGGTCCCTTTACCTTTTTAAGGGTACTTTACAATGCAATCTTATGCACGCTTGCATACATTCCCCTGTTTTTGAGTGGGCTTGCTCCCAGGAAAGTGTGCATAAGATTGCAGGCAGACTGTTTGATCAAGGGTCAAGTCAACTCTTAGCAGACCAACAATCCTGTAATGCTACAATTTATTTCTCTATGCAATTTAGTTAAGCATTTCATTCATTGGAGTGACTGCCTGGCCTTTGAATCATCCTTAATGTATCTTTATTTGCAACAGCCTAAAAAGCAGACACAATCAGGAATGAGAAACATGCCCTGAGCCATCTGAAACTATTTGTTCTGCTAAAACCATTTCAGATTTACTCTCTCCTTGTGGCACAATACAGTTTGGATTATATGGGTCAAATCGGGAAAGAATCTCGAATGTGACTGTAGAAAGTTGTGACACAGGCGGCCTTTTGATCATAACATTAGAACAGCCCACCGAATTGGGCCAATGGCTCATCTAGTCCAGTATCCTGTTCTCTTTTATATATATATATAAATTTTTATTTGATTTTACAATTTAACATTCAACACATTTATCATATAAAAGAAAAAGAAAAAAGAAGAAGAAAATAGAATTCCCTCTACCTTGCAACTTCCCTCAACTTCCCTCCTGGTTCTTTAAATATGTGCTACTTCGGCTTAATTTTTAATCTTCTTTTTTATAATCTTCTTGCTAAATACTCTTAATTCTTATCATTTTAATACCAAATTTTCTTTCAAATTACGTATATCTTACACTTGATTAATTTGCATATTATTGTTTCTTAACCTTTACACTTGTTTTCTTAGTTGTGTTTACTCAAACCCTGCTAGTGAGTTCATTCTTTACAATGTTTCTGTAGATCAACATAAATGGTTCCCAGTCTTTTTTCAAGTCCCTATTGTCATTGTCTCTAAGTCTTCCTGTAAGTTTCGCCATTTCTGTGTATTCCATAAGTTTAACTTGCCATTCTTACTCCGTTGGTATCTTGTCATCCATCCATTTTTGGGCTAGTAAGATCCTAGCCACCATTGTAGCATACATGAATAACTTCTTCCGCAGTATCCTGGTTCTCACAGTGGCCGGTGGAATGCCTGTGGGAAGCCTGCAAGCTGTATATGAGCGCAACAGCACTCTGTCTACCTGTGATTCCTAGCAGCAGGTATCATTTCCATTCCGGTGATTGTGCAATTAGAGATTCAGCAATTCAAAAGCCAAAGCTACAAATGTCTTCAATGTGACTGTGGAAGGTGATCACAGGAATAATACTAACCTACTTTTATTTGTGCAGAGCTCCAAGTTGAGAGCTCTGTGTGTCTTAGATCTTCTCCTCTGAACTTTGTGTATCTCTGAGACCCCGAAGGTAACATTTTAATGTAAAATTGTGAAGTAGAGCTAGCAAGGGATACAATACTTCATAATTCATGTTAAATTCCCATTTACTTCAGTTGGGTTTGCTATATAGCTTGACATCAGTAGAAGGGCATTTAAAATATATATAGCTTGACATCAGTAGAAGCGCATTTAAAATATATGCAAGAATACAAATATATCAAACTATACCCTGCTCCATCACTGGAATCTAGAATCTTAAAGAATGTCTGGATTTATGGTATAACCATCTTTCAAATACATGTGTAATTTTATATGTTACAAGTCAGTTCCAGAATGTGGAAATAGCTCAGTATTCTCAGGGAAATTTGCAAATTGTATTTGAGCAAATAATGATCCAACAATTGTCAAAACACATTTCTGGAATGGTCAGTAGAGTTTTGTGAAGTGGCCTTTGACATTTAGGGTAGCCTAAAAAGTTCTTTTGTTCTATGAGATACATATAAGATACAAACCATACACCTTGAGATTATCCAACTCCTTATGATAGAACTACAAAACATATCTTTATTATTTACAGATTCAGTGTTTTCCCTCTTGTATTACTTATGCTCCTCCTTCTCCAGAGGTTGGTGGGGGATTCCCCATGTCTACGTTGGCATATCCTTTGCAGTTACAGAACTTGTTGCAGCTGACATTGGCAATGAATCGGTGTTTGCCATTCATATATGGAATAAACTCAACACACGTTTGTGCCTTGTGATTAGCGGCCAGTGTTCCCAGTCTGCAGAAGAGATAAAGGAGAGAGGGTGCATGTGATGATATTTGTACATGCAATGATTTAGGCAAACCACCTTTGGTTGTTGGATGATTTGACCTCTTTGACTACAGGATGTCACAAACGACATTACACACTACATTTAAAACACATGACCCCCCATCAAGCAATTCTGAGAATCATAGTGCGTTAAAGGTGCTACGAACTGTAGGCCTGTGAGGGGTGAACTACAATTCCCATAATTCCTTGGGGGGAATCATGTGCTTTAAATGCATGGGATGCTCAGTGAACATTGTCATTAAAGCTACAGTGTGGAACTTCATAGCTGACAGCAAGAGTGAAGGTGGAAACAGGAACCACAGATAACCTCAAGGTAGATGCAAACCAAAACTGTGGCTTAACTTACTCAGTAGCGATGGGCTCACCAAACAGCCCATAACCCTCCAAGTGCAGCACACAGTTCTTGAGATCTTCTTTGAGGGGATTAGAGAAGGTGACTTCAGCTGAACATGGTGCATTCAATTTCGGGTAGTTTAAAACCTATTTGGAAAAAATGAGCACTTGTTTTTACATTCAGGTAGGTAGCCATGTTAGTCTGACGCAGTCGAAATAAATTTTAAAATTATAAAAATTATAAAAAAATTAAAAATAGTCTAGTAGCACCTTTTACTTAGTTGGTCTCTAAGGTGCTACTAGACTATTTTTTATTTTTTTAACTTGTTTTTACATTGTTATACTAATTAGTATATTGCTAATGCTGACCATTAGGTATATTACTGGGTAATCATCCTTAATGGTCAATTGGTGAGTTTTTGCAGGAGATATTAGGAAATGGTATCTTGATGTAGTGATATATCTTGCATGTTTAGAATGGAAAAGGCATCTTAGGAAAGAGAATTGGATTCCACACTCTCCAGCTAAAGGGAGGTGTATGGCGGGTAAGCAGCCAGTGTTGTGAGGTAGAGCTACCTTGATAGTGCTGGTACAGAGTGAAGATAGGTAGCGTGAATTGGTGCTCTTGCTGGTTCACTGCATGGCTTCTGCCCTGTCCCATCCCCATTCAGGTAAGGTGTAGCAATACTGGCAAGAGGAGGGCAATTTCATGGTTCTGCCACACCACATGAGCCACTACTATTCTCTGTGGGTTTGGGTTTGTGTACACACACACAAAAGATTTGGAGCTTCACACAGATGAAGGGGATCCGACAGTATAGGGATATGATGTGGAATAGCAGATCTGCTGTTTGGTATGATTTTCTTCTGTGTGTGTGTGTGTGTGTGTGTGTGTGTGTAATTTAGACCATTTGCTGACCATTCCCCATCAGTCAATAAAGACTTCTGAGCAGTTCACACAATATTGAAATATGAACTATTTAGCACCATGAAGACATTACAAATTAAAAATAAGCAAATGCCACAAAAATATTGTATATCTTTTATGCGCTCTCCTCCAAGGTAAACAGATATTGACTTCAGTTATCCTCATGACTTCAGTTATCCTCTTGCCGAATTGTCTGAGACTGCCATTGCTTGTTCACTGTAAGGGCCAAATGGTCCTTACCTTTATCTCAATGGGAAGGCTGTCAATCAGGATATCTCTCTCCACCATCATGATTTCTCCCTTAGGCTCTGGCATTGAGACAGCTGCTACCCTCATAATATTATAATCACAAAGGTGTGACCCATAACTTTCATAGGGTATCTCTATCTTGATCGTCTTCACTGCAAGGCAAAATGTATTGAACATACTTTTTAGAGTCAGAACTTCCATTCTAGAGAATTTCAGGAATTCCTCTCCATTCTAAGGGTTGGCTTGAGTCTCATCAGTGAGTCATTTTCAGGGAAATTGTGACAAGAGAAACATAAACAATAACATAAAAGTCAAATCATTTGAGCTTTCTGCAACCTGATGTCTTCCAGATGTTTCTGAAAACAATTACTGTCATCCAAGACATGCTAGATCGGGCTTATGGGAATCGTACTTTAGAGAGCACCAGTCTGAGGAAGGTTATTTTGTGAAACATGGTATCACTTACGGAACCAAATCTAAATGTTCAAGTGATAGATTATTAAATGATTGTCAATAATGTAGAACAAGTGGGTCTACTGCCTGGTGTATAAAGGATGGATGACTCTGTCATAAATTGCAGCCTAAGCAGAGTTGCCTAAATGTAAATTCTATAAATTAGTAGGATTTCTTTCCAAGTAATGATTATAGGATCAGAGTGTTAGATGGTGAACATTCTCTAGATCTGATACAGCTATTTGATGAAACAAAGAGAAAATTTGAGAGTGTTTTACATGCAATTCCAAAGCAGTTTTTGCATGTTCATGTTTTCCAAGTGAAATCTATATTACCAGAATGTACAGCTAATTTGTGGGAGTGCAATGCTGTTTTCCACTTTATATCTCAAATTAATAGCACTCAGTAAATGTCACCAAATGGCAGACAGGCCCAAATGCATGATTTCAAATTATCTAAATTTGAATCCTCATTTGCTCTCCAAGCATACATTTGGGTGCTGCATTACAAAAATCTCAGTGTGTCTTTCCAGGTACTCCTACCTCTGATACGAGATAGGTAAGAGGCTGCTTGATTGTAGCATCGTGTTCATGGAATGCTTGTGGAAATCTTTCCCCAGGGAGGACTGCCTGGCACCTTCATAACATATCTTTCGGTACCAGGCAAAAACATGTGTCTTCTTCCAGGCTTTTGGCTAATTAAACTGAGGCAGCAGGGGGTTGCTGTACACCAGGCATGGCCAAACTTGGCCCTCTAGATGTTTTGGGACTACAATTCCCATCATCCCTGTCCACTGGTCCTGTTAGCTAGGGATGATGGGAGTTGTAGTCCCAAAACATGCCAAAACATTGAGTGTCAGATGAAGATTTTTTAATTGTCCCTGGGCCTTGTAATATATTTTTATTTTAATATGCTGCATTAAGACAGTATATATAAATAAGTTAAATAAATAGTTAATACTTACCTTCTTTGGGGCCAAGTGTAACATGCACACAGTCTTTCCAGATTGGATCCAGTGAACAGCCATTATATATCATTCCCTGAGCACAAAGGTTGAATTTCCTGTCTTTAGCCTCATTCGACAAGTTTTCAAGCATCCACTTTATTTGAACATCTTGACCATAAAGGGGACAATTAGCCATCTTAAATTTCATTGTCACCCCAGTGTCTTTCAAAGTTTTGTTTCTCTGGGATGCTATATCTTTGTCGATTTCGGAATTGGGAGCATTGAGGTATTGAGAACTGATTTTTCTGCAAGCTTTATAGAAGGCTTTTTTCTCTTGCAGAGAACCTGGTTGGGGGCAAATAACATATCTCCAATGATCACTTTTCACTTTACTATATCAACATGTTAAACTTCAGTTATTCTCATTAAAATTGGTCATTACCTAATTCATGCTTGTAAGCATCAGTGACATCCTCAAGCAAATCTCCGCCAACACTCTTGGTGCTGATGCATTGCCCACAAGGCCAGATATCACAGTGCAGTTTTGTCTTCTTGCCTCTACCTTGAGAAACCCAGGCTGTACTCCTTGCATTTAGCATGCAAAATACACGAGGGCCATCAGAATCAGTATCCACATCTCCATCTCTGATGCTTTTGACCCAGATAGGGCCACTGCACACTGATCCTAAGGTAAACAAAGACAAACATGTTGTTCAATGGTAGTCTGATTGATCACTATCCTATATTGGCGGATTCCAACTCCCATCAGCTCCAGCCAGCATCCGCAACACCATACTGGTTATCCATACTGGGAAGGACACCATACTGGTTATCCATACTGGGAAATGGCTATCATGTTTGCAGTCTAACGTAGTCGTGCAACTTATTACATGCCAAGCTTAACACCAGCCATATATGACTGCTTTGCTAAATCTCCTGTTTTTGCTGTTGGTATGAGACAAATTCAATTTGTGGGACTAATACTCGTATTATGCTGGCTGACAGCATGGAAGCCACTGAAGCACTAACCCTTCCCATGCTGCTGAGTTCCAGACCATATGGTACCTACAATGCAGCTACAGGTTGGACACCTTCCATGTGGACTGGGGCCTACTAATGCAGCCTACTAATGCCTACTAATGCAGCCTCACCAGCACTTCAGAGTTTAGAGGAAGAGGCATATTACAATCTGCCATACTAAAGGAGATAATATCCAGCTCTCTTCTCTTTGTCCATCAGTTATTATTTGCGGGTTACTAATAATTTGCAGTGCCTTCTTACGCATGATTATCTCTAGATTGGGAAAGAGCAGTGCTCTTTTTCTAGAAAAAGAGGTGCCAGAACTCACCATAAATGCCTCCCTTGTTCTCTTATAATGACAATGGAGCCCTCCCGAGAGGTGCCAAAACTGAGTTCCGGTGAGTTTGGGATGAAAAAAAGCCCTGTGAAAGAGGCTTCATTTACCTTTACTAGTTTCTATAGGTGTCGGATCCAGATATTGCCAGTCACTCATAGCTTGGTTTATGTCTTTTCGGGCCATCCAAGATTCACTCCAGCAATGATGTACCCTGTAGAATACAGAAATTCAGACACTTCCTGTGTCAAAATACAAAACTAATTCTGAAGAAACCTGATCATTCAGTAATGATTTAGGATAAAAGATCCCATGTTGTATGGAATGCCAGTACAAAGATTGAGTATCATTTAGAAAATGCTTTTGTATTTACATTTATTTCTTTAGAATTTTAATTTGACTTTAGGGCTCCAAGAAAGTAACTACTTTTAAAGAAAATGAATGTTTTTATTACTTTACAATGGAGACTGTAGCTGATATAGTAAGGTAAAGGTAAAGGTACCCTGCCCGTACGGGCCAGTCTTGCCAGACTCTGGGGTTGTGCGCCCATCTCACTCAAGAGGCTGGGGGCCAGCGCTGTCCGAAGACACTTCCGGGTCACGTGGCCAGCGTGACATCGCTGCTCTGGCGAGCCAGAGCCGCACATGGAAATGCCGTTTACCTTCCCGCTAGAAAGCGGTCCCTATTTATCTACTTGCACTTTGACGTGCTTTCGAACTGCTAGGTTGGCAGGTGCTGGGACCGAGTAACGGGAGCGCACCCCACTGCGGGGATTCGAACCGCCGACCTTTCGATCGGCAAGCCCTAGGCGCTGAGGCTTTTACCCACAGCGCCACCCGCGTCCCCCTAGCTGATGTAGTAGACATCATCATAAGTGCAGTTATCATAAGCCATACTTGTGAATCCTTGGTCACTCTCATGCTGAAGCTTCTCCAATTCTCTAATTTTATTCTTCAACTTCTCTGTTGTTGCTCACTTACCAGATGTGTTCTTTGCCACTTAAAGTTTTGCCTGTATAGTCATAAACCTCCTGGACGGTGAGAGGATCAACAGCATTCAAAGCGCAATAGAAGCCGGTGACGACTCTGCTTGGGATTCCCAAACATCTCATAACTGTAAACAGATGAAATACCCAAACACTGATATTATATGTTCTGCACACACACATACTGAGATAGAAAACTTGCCTTCCTAACTCAGCAAAAACCACGTAACTATTTGCAACAAAGCCCATAAGTACTCAGGCTACATAGACTTTGGTAGTTCAGGCAACAAACCACCTGCTTATCAAATTGCATTTGTTATTTCCAAGGAAACCCTAGTCACGTGTATCTATAGTTGGAAGAGTATGACTCTTTTAACACGTATATACCACTGCAACACAGGCTCAGCCCCTAACAGGTTTGCTCATGTTCAGTGTTCCAGCCAGTCTGCCCTCTTCCAGGATGTTGTAAGCCAAGAGTAGCCAATGAGGTGTCATCACAATGTGGTGTCCCATCATTGTCATACCTCATGGTCAATGAGTTCCTGAATGACACAATATTGGCTAACCTAATAAGGGCTCAAGCAGGGTAATTCAGTTGTTTCCTTCTCAATTTTCTGGTTTTCTTTTCTAACTGCAACTCAACTTCCTATGACTGTTAAACATCACTGAACATGGCCATTGAGTTATTTTTGCCCCCTTTGTTTTTAAAGTTTGAACTACTTCATATCATGCAGATACCTTCTTCTTACTTCTCATTGGCCCATCTTGGCTTCAATCCTGTTTGTGGAGAACTATTTAACATTAGTCTGTTTATGCATCATACATTTAAATCACATTGCTTCCCTCAAAGAATCCCGGAAACAGTAGTTTATCCTTCACAGAGTTACAGTACCTAGCATCCTTAACAAACTACAATTCTCAGGATGTTTTAGTGAAAGCAATGTGTTTTAAATGTATGGGTTGTACACAGTCTCAGATTACTATGTTACCTCTATTATGAACAGCCAATGTGTTAGGAAATGATATGACCCAGTGACATATTTGTAAATGGATTCTAAGGCTTTTGTAGTAAGAATTCGTTTCACCCTGGTTTCTGTATATTTACTTGACAATCTAACCAGCAGCATATGTCAGCAGCACAGATGGTTTTATAACATCAGGGCAGAAAATAGACTATTGCAGCTTTGGCAATGTGTTTCTGTAACCCCAGACATTTCTGTATATGGCAGACATTTTTTTACTGTCTACTTTTATCTAGTATAAATGGCCAATAATATTCAGCACATCTTACAGTTAATTTCCCAGTTGCTTCAACAATTCATTCATCTTTACCCTGTTTAATGTAAATCTAATGTTCACAGTCTTTTTATATTATTTGAATATTTCCTGTAAAAGTTTTCAAATGCAGCTAGTAAATAAATGAACTTCCTGGTCTTTGCTTTCACTTTTTCTATCATCCCCCACTGGCTATGGAACGCTAAAAAACATTCCTTTTGCTTTCAGCAGATAACCTACTTTGCCATTGACAAGCTCAAAATAACTCTAAGGCATTCTGCTTTGTCTCAGGATTCATCCAAACCCAATGCCAGGAGTACCCTAGTGGCCAGTAACCTGTGGCCTTTAAAGGTACCAAAATTTGCCATCTAATGAGGTTAATCTAATTACTGCAAATTGGGCTATTCCTGATTCCCTGCTTTAGAGAGAAGCTTTGAACATGCAGTTATCATGCTAAAGTCAATACATTTGGGGAGCACACGGAATCTGCACAGAAATAGCCATGGTGTTTCAAGCACGCTTGTGCTTAGGGCAAGCCACAGCTCAGTGGTAGAACACATATTTTTTATGTAAAACAATTTGATCCTTGGCATCTCCAGAGAAGTGTGGGGGGAAAGCCCTGTTTGAAGTGTCCCTGAATTAGAGTACCTTACGCATTATATCTTGTGCTGCCCCTTATGTACTGAAGCAAGAGAATGGTTTTTGACACCTATAATGATAAGGTCCCCTAGCCAGAATCCTTCTGACGTGATTCTATATCTCCTTGCAGATATTGATAAGTATGTGACCTGGTGTGTAGCACTTTTTGCAACTGCTGCCAGGAAAATTAGAAAAAAAATTATATAGCCGAGATAGCTATCAACTGTAAAGGAGATGAATTTATTTGACCCCATCTGTATTTGACCCCATCTACACCAAGCTGTATTTTTCTCACTAAACTTTGTACATAATTGTCTATTTTATGTGATTTTAGCTTATATTGTCTAATGTTTCAATTTGTATATTAAGGAGTTTCTATAGCTTTGTGCAGATTAGGTCATGTTTTGACAATGTAAATGTTTTTAAGTTTTTGTATTGAATTAGTATACATTCTATTGAATGATATTGTATACATTGCAGCAGCCTTTGGCTATAAGCAATAAATTTGACTGACTGACTGCCTGTTTGAAATGCAGGAGACCTGCTATCAGTTCATGTCAACAACAATACTGAGCCAGATGGACCAGTGATCTGACTTGACAGCACTTCCTATGTTCCTGGGCATGATGGGGAGCACTGCATACCAAATACTAGGACAATTCAGTCTCACACCATTCCTTGAGAAGACTACCCTCCTGAATTCCAAAATGTCTTTTGTTATTATACTTCCTTTCCTCCTTATAATGTGGCTATACTCTCTGACTTTGTTTTTTGTGCTTTACTAAATGTTCATGTATGAGTAGAAATAGTAGAATCATTGAACAGTTGAGTTGGAAAGGACCACAAGGCTCATCTACTCCAGCCCTCTGCAATTCAAGAATCTTTTGCCCAATGTGGGGCTTGAACGCACAACCCTGAGACTAAGAATCTCATGCTCTACCAACTGACATGAGCTATGTAGAAATATTAGAATTTCAGCCTTTCTACTCTGTACATTTTTAATAACTAGCATTATTTTTTAGGGGGGGTAGTTCTTTATCTGACATTACTGGGTGTCATCCCATCACACCAAACAGACGCCATTTAACTTTTTGTTGAATTTAGTAGTTGCCATCTGCATCTGAGAAAGCATTTTTCTGTTAGGACCATTCATGCCCCCTACCTGTACACATGACCGAAGCAAAAGTCCCGCAGTACCCATATTTGACAGGCTTGCACTTGCTCTGAAACCACTGGCGGAGGATAGGGGCACTTCCATTCCACATTAAAGGATTGTGTCCCTGCAAGTAGTTATTACTGGGTGGAAGTTTCAGAATGCTTTTCTTCTTATGGCAACAGATCTGAAAACAGAAAGGTGATGGTGCTCAGTGCTCAAGAGTAATATCCTTGCCATACCTAGCTTGAACATTCCACGGAATCAGCATACATCACTTCGTGCACAATGATCATCCCTATCATAAAAGGCAACAGGATGTGACTAACATCTACCTGAAACAATTAATCTTGACCTGGGAGAGATGCATGTAAATGCAATAGCTTAAAGCACAAATTCACCTGCTCAGTTCTTATTATACTATACAGTAGGCATACCGTTTTTCAGAGGCCATTGCTCTCTGCTTTTGGCCATGAGAAGATGGACATTTATATAAATATTTACAGAGAATCAGTCATCTGCATGCTGTTTTACAAGATTAAAATAAGCAAATCCCAGTTGAAATTGTACAGGCTTTTTTTAAGGGGGGTGAGACAAAGAGAAAACAGAGTTTGGATCACATTCAGTTGCTATATTCAGCCTGAAGTATCAGAATAAGTAATGGTGGTCCCTTTACGGTGAGCAATGGCACATGGTGCTCTGACTTCCCCCACTCCACAGTAAGTGAATTTAAGATTCACTATACATTACCCTGGTACGCAATACATCATCTGCATGCACATGATTTTTTATGTGTGATTCTGTGAAGAAATTAAATTTGACTAAGAGTTGTTTAGACAAAACTCCAGGGAAATTAAAAATAAATAGCAATGCGTACCTCTTTTCTTTTTAAAAAAATATTGTTATTATATTCTGTTGATAGAATGCTCAGAAATATTTCCATAGGGGCTACCAATGGTCCTCATCCAGTCGCTAATATGTCCATACATTTAGCAATACTGAAGCACTGGGTACATGAATTGCAGGCCATCTTCTTCTCTCTCTTCCCTCCCCCATCCTGAAACCTCCCTTTGTAGGGTGATATTTTATATTATTTCCATCACTTTCATCTCTTTGATTCTAATCCTACCATCCAGAATCCTGTTGTTGTTGTTTTTTAATATAAAAATATTTACAAAGTACCTACTCATATAAAATATCAATGCAGTGCATAAAGATACATACAGGTGCAAAACTAAGATACCATAAAAGCAATGCAAAACAATCATAAAAATGACTGGCCCATCTTGGGCGGCAACTAAACAACTGAATAGGCCAGGTAGCATAAAAAGAACTTTGAGAGATATTAGAAAATTGCCAGCAAGGATCCCTGCCAAATCTCTTTTAGAACAGCATTCCACAGCATGGAATCAACACCAAATGCCTAGTGTCTAGGAGAAGTCAGATGGTTTTCTGAAACATAGCAGAAAACTATTAGGAATAGAAATTCATCTGCTTCTTATTAAAGATGATGGTGGTGGGTGATTTTTCATATATATTTATATATAAACATTTGTTGCAGTTCTTATTGGTGCCAGGAATTTAAGAGATATTTATCGGGGCCAGGGAGCTGTCATTTAAGAGATGTACTACTGTTCTCCAGTCATCATAACAACCATTTCCCCCACCTTAACAAAGACAGGCACAGTTACGTTTGCAAAGCTGACTATCAGTGGGCAATTTAGCAATTTACATAAGCCAAACACACATTTCCTAGGAATTTCTCTGGGGTTGTGCCTGCTGACAGATTTGTGATGAGCCAGCCTCTAGTAATGACTGGAGAGACAGAGGCAAACCAATGCCAGGGGTGGTTATAGGCAAATATATCCACAAGGAGTCAATTAAACGTCCTGTACTCAAACTTTACCATACTGTTCAACACCCTGCTGATGTACACGGGATCATTGCGACAGGAATAATCCATGCCAGGATCACGAAGGAAGTTTGTACTTGTGTCCAGAATTTTCAGACAGATATCCAGAATGCCATCTTGGAACTAAACACACAAAATATGAGCACTCATTTTGAAGCCATTTGTGACACAAATATTCAGAACAAAAATTTCCCTGTTATAGCAGAGAACAACTACTGGACTGCCAGGAATCTGTAGAACTGGAAATGTGAGGCAATAATAAATAAATAAATAAATAAATAAATAAATAAATAAATAAATGCAGCTGACACCAAGAAATGTAGATTAACTAAATATAAGTAGAAATAACTGCTTCTCACTTTGCTTTTGAAGTCAAAGGGGTGTCTTTGTTGAGTTAGTGCCATTTTTGAAATGTGAACAGGATGGCTTTGCATTAGAGCTAACAACCAATAAATTCCACCCGCCCCCCAATGAAACTTCTAACTGAACTGGTTTGGCAAATAATGATTAAAATGTAAATGAATGTACATGCTGCAAAGCTTCAGTGAAGGTTATTATTTCATTTTAAGGAAATAATGAAGCAGCAATTGATTTAGGGCAGTTCAGGCAGTTCTCCCCCACAGGGTGCTGAGGCAAGTGGGGGAATTTTACTTTTAAATATGCAACACTGGCTACAGCCATTGGATAGAAAGCACTTTATGTACATCTCTTTTTCCATAGACAATTTGTGTCCAAGAGTATAATTAATCTAATCTAAAGACTAAGGTGAAACTCATAATACATTCAAGAGCCATAATCTTGCATTTACCTGTCCAAAATACCATGGATGAGAAGTTACGTGTTTGGGAAGCCCCTGGAATACAATCCCATGCTCATTCAGGACATACTCTTCTCTGTGAGCTTGATTGTCTAAATACACAGGGTCATCTGAGAAAACAATATAGACAAGGTCTCTGAACAAGTTCCAATATCAAGGGCAGAATTTTCATAAAATTTACACCAGCTCTGACATAACAGATCAGGCATGAGATTTATATTTTTTCCAGTACAGGCAGTTCATGCATTCAGCTGTGATGAGATCATTTTGATGCATATGTAAATGACCCTTTATTATCATACCTTTGGGACAAGCCTCTAATATCAAGCATGCTTTAAATATTGCAAACCAATTTGGATCTACATGCTGCAAATGAATCCATCAAATAATGGATAAACAAAATGGCTGCTTTGCAGTACTGCTTTCAATAGCTACAGTTTAAGGAATGGTTTGGTAAAAATATGTCTAATACCAGGCCCGTGTTTTGTTAGCCCAAAAGTGAAAAATGAGCGAGGTCCCAGACAAAGTGGACTGGCAACTTAAGATGTTGGGATATGCAGAACTTGCAGGTCTAACGCATAGAAAAAGAGAGCAAGAAGGACATATATTTAAAGAAGAGTGGGAAATGTTTATTGAATACAGTATATGAAAGATAATTGTACACAACTGAAAACGCTGATGGCATTAAGATAAATTCAACAGTGTAATTAATGTTTGAATGGTGTAAAAATGGAAAACTGACTTGAATGGTTAGAGTAAAATATGCAGGAATGGAAGATATTTAAAATGAACCATGGAAAGAGAAGAAGGGAAGCCATTGGATATTAATAAGTTTGTAAAATGTTTATTTCGTATTGAAAAAAATAATAACAATTAAATACAAAAAAGTCTAATACCATTTCCAGAGTTTCATTAATCGTATGATACTACCTTGAGTGTGCTAATACAGTATATTTGTTTCTGTGTACAAGCATGTGATGTGTTAACATCCCACGTACCCCCAAGCCTAATATCTGCTTTTATATATATGTTTCTTTACTCAACCCAAAAGTCTTTCCTCACTACTACTACTACTACTACTACTACTACTACAGAAATACACATTCTCACAAATTGTCTGTGTCTGCAGGCACTTGCTTAGCAAGACTATCCAGACAAGAAGTTTCTTATTGATTCTTACCAGAACACCAAGGGTTGAAGAGAACATAAAAGTCTCCCAGATGTTGGGTGCTTGAGTGTTCACATGACACTAGACACATATTCAGAGTGTAGCAGCCAATACAGGCACTGGCGGGAGGGAACAGACTGACATAGAGGCTTTGTTCATTATGGAGTTTGTAGCAAGCATTCCAGTGGCTTTGATTTGGAGATTGCCCTAAAGGAAAGATGCTCTTTGTTCCGAGAGATTCGCAGGGTTTCGGACCTGTTCAAGAAAGTTGTTCAAAAAGGAAGTGAACGCAAGAACTGTTTTGCCTAAACTTATTTACAATTGTTGGTGAAAGAATAAAGATGCAAAACGTTATATAGGATTTGTGAGATTAATATGATGCTGAACTTCCAAGAAGCATAGGAGAAAGAATGAAGATAATGGCTGGCTTCCAAAGATGAGCAAAGATTCGTATCTTTAGAATTAAGGTCCTCTGAAGATCAAAGAATGAACATGATACAATATGTATGGCTCTCTTTTTACTAAATTCTGAAAGTAAGTAGGGTGTGTTCTTTTCATTTTTTCTAATAACTGCATGCAATTTTATAAATATATATTTGGGTGGTTTGGTTCGGTTTTTGTTTTGTTAGTTTTTTGCAATTTCACCCCATATATTCAATGCAATAACAATCCTATGCCTCTTTACTTGGGAGTAACCTTGTCTGAAACTTACTTTGAGTAAACAAGCATAGGCTAAAGCTACACAAGTCAACACACAAGTTGTTTTTGGCTTACTGAAATATTCAGAAGGGTTATCTATCTGTGTGAGCCCTCTACTGTTGGCAAAGTGTATGAAGGGAATTCTATGAATAGTTCCATGAAAATGAATTTTTTTCATGTTCATTCAGTGTTCTCATTTGAAAGAAAAAGCTCTGCAGACCTCTATGAATACGACTCTTTGACATAACAGTGCCAACATCAGCTAATGCAGAGAAAATAGGTATGAAGTAGCTCAAAGATCATCAATCCTGTATGATACATTTTATTTAACAAAATTCACATACCACCTGATTGTAACAAAAGCTCTAAATCAGTGGTACTTAACCATTAGGAATACAGTAAACAGAAGTTCTCCCTAAACACTAAAGCTTTTAACATAAGACCTCTAGTGACTTTATGGAGCACGTTTGTCATCATATAAAATAATTACCTGTTGCCACCGTGAATGTGATCTTGTCCTTGTCATCATCCCATTCCCGGTTTTGGAAATGCACATAGAACCCAAACAGCTGGCCTCTTCTCACAATTAGTTTATTAGAACTAAAAAACTGTGTGTGGTGGTTGCTGCAGTTCTGAGCACAGTTTAGGTCTACATTTTTCACCTCAAGGACTGCAGGAAAACAAATAATGATGGGACCGATTAATGAATATTTAAAATAATTTTTAAAATCCCCCCCCAACTTAGCACACCATGAGTGATATGGGGCTTCCAATCTCTCCTCCACTGCTCCATAAATAGTGTGGGGCTCTAATATTCTCTGAACACTGATTCTGAGGGTTAGGGGAACTTCAGGAAGAACAAACATATCTGTCTTCTTATGCAAGGAACTTCTGAGTCCAACCCAATAGTGTACCATAGTTTTGTTTAGCTCTGATGTGAACCTGAGAAGCACATCAGCAACAAGACAGTGGTGGTTAATTAAAATTTCTGAGTTGAATGTGATTAACATACCAGTTTTTATTAGGATGTTGTACTAAGTCTGCAGCAAATTAAAAATTGAAACCAGCCCCACCCCCCACAATAATCTTTTCAGAAAAATGTTTTTTCATGCCTTCATAACCAGGCACATGTACAGACCCTGCATAACATATGAGTATATATGAGCACCAGCTTTGTGTATCCAGGTCCAACCAAAACATTGTGCGGGGAGGAGAGGGAGGAGAGCTGCCACAAACCCAGTCACTGTGACACATTGACAAGCCACACTTTTGAAGATGTGAAGAAGGCTAAGGAAAGCAATAAATATGCACACATTTTTGTTTCTGAGTTAGTTTCATATGTCTCTTTTAATCATTTTCAAACTGCAAGGAATAGACATGTTATTATCCTTAATGAAAAAAGTCCCTTTTTCTGATTTCCACATCCTATTGTAATCCACACAATTATTCCGGGGGGGGGGGTATGCTGAGCACCATAAGGTACATCTTGAATCAATTAAGCTAAAGCATATAATGGAACCCAAATGCTTCTTTGAAGGAACACAAGGTTCCATTCTATGCTTTTGCTGTGACAAACACACACACAAACAAACACACCTGTCTGTCCATCTGTCTCCTCCCCACCCCCTTTCTCTACATGTGGCTATTAGCATTTTTCAAAATTGTCATTTGAATCACCTAACAAAAACTGAGGTGTTGACAAATGAAAGAGAATGCTCTCTTTTCTTGCACTGAAAGGTTGCTCCAGAAGATTAAAATGGATTTCATTATCTTTTATATAGTTTTTCCACGAGGAATTTATTATATACGACACTTATTACCTTTTGTTTATGAATTTTTGTGGAGCTTAGTGTTAACATATTTTAAAACAAAGTTTTGAGGCTTTGTATAATCCACCCAAGTTTAGCAACAGAAGTAATTAAACAACACTGAAGTGCACTGTCTGCTTCCTTAGAGGACTACATCATGCTTCTGATTAAGGTGCCCACAAAAGATTATGCTGCAATAAATTTATTATCTTTTAGATACCATAAGATGTCGCCTAAAGGTGCTGTCTCTGCTGCAACATACCATTAAGACTGTTCCCTCAGGAACATGCTGTTATTCATTGACTGTTAGAAGAAGGTGCATAATACTATACTGTTTTGAGAGATAAAAAGCATCACAGCTTCCCAAGGGGAGTCTTCTCCTCTAGAGTGTACAAGTTAATGTCAGCGTACATCATATTTTAACTATGTTTCACATCCACTCAGGGTCCTCCAGAGATTATTGGACTACAATTCCCATCATCCCTGACTATTGGTCCTAGAACATCTGAGGGCCCTCAGGTTCCTCACCCTTGTCATGGTTTAAGCTGCTAGAACACTCCATCTAGAAGTTATGTAGCTATATCTCTGCGCCTACGTGTGTGTGTTTTCTATCGTATCTTAGAAATTCTTTGAACAAATGTATGCAATATGCTGCTCTGCTCCATGTGCATTTCCAGGGCTGTTTAAAAAAGGAAAGATGGCAGGAGACAGAGTTTTACATTTTCACACTCCTCAGGTGCAAAGCTTAACCAGCTTTGATCTTCTTCTACTAATACTGTGTAATGTCAGGTTTGCAACCCTTTGTACAGAACGATTAGTTTTCTTGTGTAACTGCTCTGCATGAGTCTGGAAATGCTCTGATGAAATCAATCGTGATGTCAATGTAAGGGACACTGCAGGTTAATCATGGATTTACATGCACAGCTTAGTATATAAAGTTCTTATTTGCCATGCACTGCAAGACATTAGCAAATTCTGATCTTAGAGCTGTGCTTCTAATAGTACTGATTCAATGTCACACTGTAGTGGTGATGTCTCTCATGCCACCTAACTTTGGCTTCCATTCACTAGAAGACAATATTTTATTTCCTTTAAAAGTATCCATACTAGATGGAATCACAGCCTATTGCCTCTGATTATACAAACATAACCAGATTTAGGGCAACACAGCTGGTTCCCCCATACTGGGTGCTATATGTTGTCTTTGTGCTCATTTTAGCACCTTGGCTTTCATCACTTTTTCTCTGCCATCTTAGATTTAATTGTTATTATGCTGTTACTGCTGCTCTGGACAGCATAACAACTCCTACCCCCCACTTCTCACAGGCTGCCTAGATCTCAAATTTCCTACAGAAACAGAATATAACAAATGAGCAAACTGACACATTAACAGGATTTTGCTTCTTGCCAGATACACAGCCTGAATTATTATTGCTATTATTATGATTATGGACCTTTTTCAATGCAGAAGTGCTAAAGCAGTTGATGGCATTGATAAAATATGCAAAGGATGAAATCTAGTGGTGCTGTTCTGCTGATGAAATGGGAAAGGGGGTGGGTTTTTTTTTGTTTTGCAAGTCCCCCCCCCCAATCTTGCCAGATCTTCTCCATAAAGTTGGACTTCACTAACACTCTAGAGCAGATTTAGAGAAAAGCATGAGGGGGCTGTTGGGGCAAGGGAAATAACCCAAAATTGCATTCCTTCCCATTCCACTGATGGATGCCTTCCATATGCACAGTAACAACATGGGAAACCACCCATTAAAAATATAATATAAAAAGCCATCAGAACAATATAAAATATTATGACTGCTAAATGTTGAGCTATACATACAGAATGGGATAAGGATGTGAATAATGACAACCTAATTATGTAACAGAAGCAATCTGCAGATTTTCTTAAACTTTCTGTATGTTCACCTGTCCATCAGACAATTCACTGCAACAGCCAGAAACAGAACCTCCGTGTTCAAAGAAGGGGAAAACAAATGCCATCATTATTTCTTTTGAGTTTCCTTAGCACATCCAGTTAACTTGAGCTAAATGGACCAATAGTCTGGTTCATGCTAGCAATTTTCATTTCCCTGTGCCTTTACTATTGACACAATAGCTGCACCAACAAATAACTCAGCAACTCAGCATCCTATTCAATTAGCGTCCAACTGCTGTTCCAGATATTAAACTTACAAACCACAATGCCATGTCAATTTTCTATTAATATTATGGCAAAAAAACATTTAAGATTGGAACATTAAAGCTCAAATGTAGTTACCTTCCATCACAAGTGGATTTTCAGTAAGTTCTGTTGTTCTGTTGAGAGACAGACAATCGTCATCAAAGTTTTTTGATGTTCTCTCAGCCAAATTCAGTTCCATCTAGTGGCATTTATACTCCTAATAAAACAACCCCAAGCCTATCATACATGCAAAGCTACAGTGGTTAGGGTGAGGTTTCACTCAAGTTCCTACTGAAGCTCATAAAATGTGCCAGAATTTTATTTTAGAATCCAAGCATTGGTAAGCCAGACTCACCACTGATGTTGAAGCAAGAGAAGAACTGTTTGCTTTCTTGCTGTGGAATTTGTAGCTGCCCAGATATTTAAAGAATATGTTTGCTGACATTTATGAGTTCAGTTATGGTATTACATAAGGTCAGTCACACCATTTAATATGTTTGCATCAAACTGTGAAAGGCTTAAGCTTCTTTTGCAATTATCTCCTTATTTTGTTACTTGGTTAGAAGTAAGAGCTTACTTGGCATAAATTCGTTTAGTTCACCAGCTGTGAATGATAAACTAAGGATAAGCTGTCATGACCACTTTAGTTCCACCATGAATAGATTTTTCTCAGCAGCCATTTCACTTGAGACATAGAAATGACTCTTGAGAAACTGTAGCCCTACCAGTCAAATGGAACACCTGATTTCAATGCCACCTTTTAGTGTCACAACCATTTTGTCATTTAATATTTTTGTGGGGAAAATACTTCCAGGATTTATTTTATTGGGAGAGGGGAGAGACACCAGATGTCTTCTTACAGATTTGGATGAACTGATACTTGGCATTCTGTACAAATTGCACATCCTTAAATTTAGAGGAACCTTCCCTTCCCTTACTTTGAGGAAAATGTACCATCTTCTATATTTTAATTCACTGGAAGTAAACCCTGTTCTCTGTGACGTTTGGTGCAAATCTGTTAAGAGGAGACATATTTTGGAGATGTGGGGTAGATTTGTTCCCATCAGAGTAAGGTTCACTTTGTCTCCAATTACTACTTGTAGACAAACTGTAAGCATGGAGAATTTTGACAACTCAACTTTGAAATTAGCTGCTCTCTGACATGTTAAGGCAGACAGTTCTTTTCTTCTTTCTAACCTAATGCTTCAGCTCTTGGATGTTATTACTTCTAAAACTGCTTTCTCCTTCAATGATTTCTTCAATATTATCACAGTTCTATCTGTTCAAAGTGAAAACATAACTATTTTTCGGGCTGCTGTATATCTTTACAGTTAAAAGGTTCTTAGCTGAAGCATAAGGATGGTTACTTGATGTTCTTGGAGCCTGAAATGTGGCACATTTCGTTTGGGAAGAGGATTCTGCTGAGAATGTGTGTAACACAGAAACAGAGGGTGAGGGGTGGAGAATGAGGAAAATTTGAATCAGGCCAGTAAGAGATTGTGTGGTCAAGGCTTTATCCGCACAAAACAGGACATAAGAATGTAAACTTGTGCTAGCCTTTACTATTGTGGAGGAATCGCATAACTGAATGTTCAGTTAACAAAAGAGGTTCGTTTTCTTCCTAACAAGGCAATTATCTATGTGTAAGGAATTTCTTTTGTAGGAAGAGCATTACATCCTGCTTTCCTTGGTGTTAAAGCCAAAAGACAGGTTTCTCTCACCTGTTTTCTTACAAACTACATAACAAAGTCTGCTGTGGTGTCCTACCAATATTCAGTTTTCTGGAAGCAGCAAAGGTATATTGTTGCTTTTGAAGGAATGGTGCTGAATGAAGACTAGCCATACAAAACCACCATAAGCTTTTTGTACCATCTGCTCACAAGGAAACTGCAGCTGAAATCCTATACACACTTACCCAAGAGGAAGCTGCACTGAATTCATTGGGACCTACTGTTGTGCTGTGAGCTGGTTGAAATGCTGCCTGGAGCTTTCTACTGATTTGCTATGTAGGCATGCACAATACCATAGAAGAGTTTCCGGTGCACAAAAAAACCCACCAAAAAACCAGTTTTGGCTCTTTGAAGCCAGTGAGTATGGGCATTTCCCAGACAGGATTCTTTGATGTTAGATTTTTATGTCATAAAACAAGACAGAAGCTAGTAATATAGTTACAGGCCAAAGCTTGTCCTCTACAACTTTGTTTGACTAATACACATATTAAATGAAACAAAGAGAATGTGAGTGAAATGTATACCGTATCATAAATATCCACCCCCAAATTGCAGTAGAATGCCATCAAACTCAGGTACCTTAGCTTGCTTCCAGATGACCCATTTATTGAGCATTTATCCTAACTTGTTTGCACAAAGTTTGAGGGGGAGGTTGGATGACGTCGACTATGTATTGACCAATTTGGTTAGAGAACCACAATGCAAAATCAGATATTTAAGGAGAGCTGCATTTCAGATGGTGTATTACCTTGAGAAGTGCAAATTAGGTGAAGATGGTATACAAACCGAATCCCCCCCCCCATCCCTAAGTATGAGAACTCTCACTGTCATCATACTTCTGGTTATATAGATTGCTTGGCCCATGCTAGCCTTGCTTTGCTCCCATCTAAAATGTTAAGGCGAGAGTATGATGGAGTACACTGAAGACTCTCTGAATGAACATCCAAGCCCCTTCACAAGCTTCTATACAAGCACATCCAGGAAACCGGTTGAGCTATAGTACCTGCCACATCTGACTTGCACATTTGGAAGTTTATGCAAGTGGACGTTTTGCATGAATGCTGTCATGTACGATGAAGGGGGCAGAGTCTTGTCAACCTTTGTGAGCAGGGTACATTCCAAACTCAGAAACCTCTGTATCGTGACTTGTGCAAGTTATTTCCTCATGCTTCATAAGTAGGTCACATTGTGTAAGCTGTTTAAATGTGCCACAAAATGTGAAAATTAGGACCAAGGACTTGCCCATAAGATAAGGGACCACAGACCTGGTCCAAAAACATATTGGCCTCAATCCAGGCATTTTGCACCAAGAACAAGGACTATACCTCCCATATACCTTCAGGAGTGGAGTTTGGCTGTAGAACAAGAAAGCAGGGTGGGAGTTTTCCATAATATTCTGTATGCAATAGACCTCTCAAAACCATTGGGTGCTAACTTAAGCAGGCTTACATGGAAGTAAATGCCATGTAAATTTACTACTAAATCCTGATAAATGTGCTTGGATGAAGATGATTACATAAAAGTGTGGTTAGACCTGCAACCTTAGATACACAATTCTTCCAGCGGTGACTTTGTTTTGGTGGGCAATCTCGTCAGATGCAATGTGCCATAAACTTTTCAGACATCAGAATCCTAATTTGCAATAATGAAATAGCCGGTCAATTGAATATAAATAACTAGCGGTCATTATTTGCCTAAATCTCATTAACGTTTAATCAAACAAAACATTTTGCTACTTAAAGAAAGCAGTCCTTGTGTCTCTTCATTAAGTAAGAGTGACTCTTTCAGAATTACAATGCTGCTAGCCTATTAGGTACAATTTATTCCTTAATAATTGCTGATGAAAATACTAATAATTCTAGTCACATATGCTGCTGACAACAAAATCTGAATTTACTACATGCTATCAGCTGATCCCAAAGCCTTGCATTATGAATGGTGGAGAAAAATTATCTGTTTATTGCTTCTAAAATCATAAAATCTCTTGTGTGTCCTGCCCCTCTTTTTTTTCATTCTCAAAACTTTAGGGCAGAACTTGCTAATCTGTGTCCCTCAGATGTTGTTGGACTACAACTCCCTTCATTCATAACCATTGGACAGGTTGTCTGGGGCTGATGGGACTTGGAGTCGAATAATATCTCAGAGGAATGTTGGAATATTTGGTGCAGATAAGAGAAAATATTTTTGCAACACATGAACTATGGAACGCACTCCCACAGCTGGCAGTGATGGTAACCAACTTGCATTGTTGTTGTTGTTGTTGTTGTTGTTGTTGTTTTACTATTTATACCCCACCCATCTGGATGGGTCTCCCATCTTGTGCTCCACCCTCCAGCACTGAAGCTTCCCCTCCTTCCGACTCTTGCCTCCTTGCCGGTACATCTCCCCAAAAATCACTGACCCCCTCTCTCAAGTCAGACTCCATCCCCCCTTCCTCCAGTGCACATTCATCAGTGTCCTGCCAGTCTCTGACACCAGCTCTCCACATACATCTGGTTGGCCACTGTGAGAACAGTATGCTGGACTGGATGGGACCATTGACCTGATCCATCAGGCTTGTCTTATGTTCTTAATGGAAAGCATCCCATGATTGTATTACATGTAAGAACAATAACAAAGAAAAAAGATTGTTAAACTAACAAGTGTCATTCTACGTCATGCGCTACAATAGTAGCCAGGGAGATGTTCCCAGGAAAACCACAAACAAGCCTTCTTTGTTATCTATGCTGCAGCACCCAGTTCCCAGGGGATATATAGTGGTGCAATCAGGAGCACAACAGTTCCAAATTTTGAAAGAGACTTGGATTTGATGGACCTGACCAAGTCAAACCAAAGGGAGCTAGTCCATCTCTACCGACAATGTCATCATCTGTATACACATATGGATATAGGGACTGTATTATAATGATTGAATACTAAATTAGGAGGGGGGACTTGGCAGCAGATATAAGGATATTACATGCTTAATCCAGTTTATGTCATTCCATTTTCTGCTTGGGAAAATCTAAGTGAAATCATTTCTGTCTATTTCTGGCATTGTTAGGAAAGAATACAAACATCCAATCAATTAAATGAGCGGCAATGTCGTGTGTGACTGTGTGTTTCTTCTGTTAAAGAGAAAGTCCTGGCATGTTGTAACCTGCATTATTTAATGGCATGAGATCACACAAAAGAAAGGGACAAGGATATACGAGGCCTGGGGTGTGTTTTTTGCCACCTTGCAATGGTTGAAACCATTACGTTATTATAGACTCAAAACAGCCAGTGAAATCTGATGTAGTAATTTTGGTAACATCAGCGTTAAATAGCTTCTAGGCTATTTATTATAATTGGACAATTCTAACTTTTAAAAAAACAAGTTAAAAGAAAAGAAAAAGCAGGCTGGCAGAACATCAGAAGAAAGCAGACTTCTCTTAGCAAGAAGAACATGGAGGAGAATGAACAGAGGAAGGGCTTTAGTTCAGCAGTA